TTTCGCCTGCATCTATGGCAAGCATCCTCAGAGGTAGTGCTTGCTATAGATGCAGGTGAAACGTCAGGAGAGAATGCTTCTAGAACATGGCCATATAGACCGAAAAAACCTACAACAACCCAGTGATTCTGGCCATGAAAGCCTTCTACAATATATATTTTATTAATTTATTATTATACGTCATAATAATACTTTATTTGTAAATTTATATAAATTTATAATTTAGTTATAACTTTATTTATATTTGTATATATATATGTGTGTGTGTGTATATATGTATGTATATGTATATATAATATATTTTTAATTGTTATGTCTTCAGGTTTAAATGTCCTTATTTTAGGAGTTAACTGCCTTATTGAATTTATGCATAGTTATATGTTTTGCTTAGATTTATAATTTCGATTTCTGTACATATGGCATTGAATTTGGCCATGATTTGTTGGAAACTGCTTTGAGTCCTCCTGCCCCCAGGGGTGAGACAAGCGATATATAAATACAGCAAATAAATAAATAAATCTCCCCAAGGGGACTCAGGGTGGCTTCCAGCAAGATAAAAATACAGTGCCAAACATTCAAGGCCAATAACAACGTATAATACAGTGTTTCTCAACCTGAGGGTTGGGACCCTGGGGGGTCACAAGGGGGTGTCAGAGGGGTCTCCAAAGACCATCAGAAAGCACAGTATTTTCTGTTGGTCATGAGGGTCCTGTGTGGGAAGTTTGGTTCAGTTCTATCATTGATGAGGTTCAGAATGCTCTTTGATTGTAGGTGAACTATAAATCCCAGCAACTACATCTCCAAAATGTCAAGGTCTATTTTTGCAAAACTCCATCAGTGTTCACATTTAGGCATATTGAGTATTCGTGCCAAGTTTGGTCCAGATCATCACTGTTTGAGTCCACAGTGCTCTCTGGATGTAACTACAACTCCAAAATTCAAGGTCAATGCCCACCAAACCCTTCCAGTGTTTTCTGTTGGTCATGGGAGTTCTGTATGCCAAGTTTGGTTCGATGCCACAATTGGTGGAATTCAGACTGCTCTTTGATTGTAGGTGAACTAAAAATCCCAGCAACTACAATTCCCAGATGACACCATCAATCCCTCCCCAGTCCCACCAGTATTCAAATTTGGGTGTATCAGATATTTGTGCCAAATTTGATCCATAAATACATTCTGCATATCTGATATTTACAATATGATTCATAACAGTGGCAAAATTATAGTTATGAAGAAGCAACGAAAATAATTTTATGGTTGGGGGTCACCACGACTTGAGGAACTGTATTAAGGGGTCACGGCATTAGGAAGGTTGAGAAACTTTGCCCTAGTGCCTACTCTATTTCTTATTTGAAGCTAAATCTACATCAAAAAAGAAACATGTAGGCTGCATGTACCCACTGAATGCACACGTATAGGATTGCACTGCAATTATGAAGTAGCAACGAAAACAATGTTATGGTTCGGGATCACCACAACTTGAGGAACAGGAGTTGTGGTATTAGGAAGGTCGAGAACCACTAATACAACAAATCAGGAAACAGACTTGATAAAAAAAAATAAATAACAACTTAAATAGGTAAACAAACCCCAATACATCCCAAACTTATTTGACAACAACCTTTGAAGAGGGCCTATTTTACCCAATCCATTGAAACAATGTCAAGAAGGAGAGTGCCTATAGGTGCATGCATGGATATTATGGAATGAAGGTATCTTTGACACCACTCGAACTGCCACGGCTCCATGCTATAGAACAGGCATGGGCAAACTCCAGGTGGGCTGTTAGGAATTGTGGGAGTTGAAGTCCAAAACACCCGGAGCGGGCCCAAGTTTTCCCATGCCTGCTCTAGAACCTTAAAAGTGGACGCTTTGTTGGAAGAGATGGAGTCAAAGGTGGATTCCTTCCACAGTAGAGATTGGATATGCATCTGCTGACCAAGTCGGAGGAGCTCTAGGCATCTCTACCCTGGGTTGTTGTAGGTTTTTCAGGCTATATGGCCATATTCTAGAAGCATTCTCTCCAGGCGTTTCGGCCACATCTATGGCAGGCATCCTCAGAGGTTGTGAGGTCTGTTGGAAACTAGGAAAATTGGATTTATATATCCAAGAGTGGAAGAAAGAACTCTTGTCTATTGGAGTTGGGTGTTAATATTTCAATTGACCATCTTGATTAGCATTTGATGACCTGGCAGTTTTTAGGTTTCGCTTGTTACTGCTTGGGGGAATCCTTTGTTGAGAGGTGATTAGAATCGTAGAATCATAGAGTTGGAAGAGACCTCATGCACCATCCAGTCCACCCCCCCCTGCCAAGAAGCAGGAAAATTGCATTCAAACTACCCCCGACAGATGGCCATCCAGCCTCTGTTTAAAAGTCTCCAAAGAAGGAGCCTCCACCACACTCCGGAGCAGAGAGTTCCACTGCTGAACAGCTCTCACAGTCCGGAAGTTCTTCCTAATGTTCAGATGGAATCTCCTTTCTTGTTGTTTAAGCCATTGCTCCGAGTCCTAGTCTCCAGGGCAGCAGAAAACAAGCTTGCTCCCTCCTCTCTATAACTTCCTCTCACGTATTTATACATGGCTATCATATCTCCTCTCAGTCTTCTTTTCTTCAGGCTAAACATGCCCAGCTCTTTGAATCGTTCCTCATAGGATTTGTTCTCCAGATTATTATTTTTCTGGAGTTCCCCTGTGTTTGAGTGTTGTTCTTTATTTACTGTTCTAATTTTAGAGTTGTTTTTTTTGTACTGGTAGCCAGATTTTGTTCATTTTCATTGAAATCCACAAGCATGTGGACCCTTTCAACAGAAAGGAAGAAACCATGCAAACAAATGTATCTCCCCTTACGAACCATCGAGTACTTTAATATCGCCTGGGGAGGCCCTGCTCTCGGTCCCGCCTCTGTCACAAGTACAGTTGGTGAGGAACAAGAGTCAGAGCCTTCTCAGTGGTGGCCCCTCGGCTATGGAACACCCTCCCTAAGGAGATTAGATCGGCTTCTTCACTCCTAATGTTTCAGAAAAAATTCAACACATGGCTGTTCGAGCAAGCATACTGAGTAATGGACATAGGAAAACGGAACAACTATACGATGGATTTGGACAATGTTTTTACTGAGGATTTACTGAATTATGTTTATATTGCTGTTGTTATGATGTTATTGTTGTTAACGTTTTCTAAATCTAGACTTGTTCTTTATGGCATTGAATTTTGCCTTGTAAACCACCTCGAGTCACCGGAAGGCTGAGAGGGGCGGTATACAAATAAAGTACATAAAGTAAATTTTTTTTTTTTGAAAAAAACTCTTAACACTAGAACAGTAAATAATGAACGACACTAAACACAGGGGAACTCCAGACAAGAAACAATCAGGGACAGCTAATCACCTCTCAACAAAGGATTCCAAAGGATAGTTGAGAAGAAGTCATAAGGAGGAGCAAGCAAACTTGTTTTCTGGAGAACTAGGACTCTGGAGACTAGGACTCTGGAGAACAAGCCCTATGAGGAGCGACTTAAAGAGCTGGGCATGTTTAGCCAGAAGAAGGGAAGGCTGAGAGGAGACATGATAGCCATGTATAAAGATGTGAGATGAAGTCATGTTGCCCTGGAGACTAGGACGCGGAACAATGGCTTCAAACAATGGCTTCGACAATACAATGGCTTCAAACTACAAAGAAAGGAGATCTCATCTGAACATTAGGAAGAACTTCCTGACTGTGAGAGCTGTTCAGCAGTGGAACTCTCTGAGTTCCAAGAAAATAAATAGATGACTAGCACCTGCTAGACATTTGCCCTTACTTTAGGGGTGGGGAATCTCAGGCCTGTACTTTTTCTCCTCGAATCAAAAACTGATTTTATGAGTCTCTCCAGTTTTCCAGTTTTTGTGCCAATTGCACCACCACCACCACCCCGCCACCACTAAGACTAACAATCAAGACTAGACATCAAAGCTTTAATCTAAAACCTGGGATATTGTGTCCAATTCGGGGCACCACAATTGAAGGAAGATATTGACAAGATGGAATGTGTCCAGAGGAGGGCAACTAAAATGATCAATGGTCTGGAGAACAAGCCCTATGAGGAGCGGCTTAGGGAACTGGGCATGTTTAGCCTGAAGAAGAGAAGGCTGAGAGGAGACATGATAGCCATGTATAAAGATGTGAGAGGAAGTCATAGGGAGGAGGGAGCAAACTTGTTTTCTGCTGCCCTGGAGACTAAGTCGTGGAGCAATGGCTTCAAACTGCAGGAAAGGAAATCCCACCTGAACATTAGGAAGAACTTCCTGAGTGTGAGAACCATTCAGCAGTGGAACTCTCTGCCCCAGAGTGTGGTAGAGGCTCCTTCTTTGGAGGCTTTTAAACAGAGGCTGTATGGCTATGTGTCAGGGGTGCTTTGAATGTAATTTTCCTGCTTCTTGGCAGGGGGTTGGACTGGATGGCCCATGAGGTCCCTTCCAACTCTATGATAAAACACACAGACTTTTTGCTTCCTGAGTGTGAGAACCGTTCAGCAGTGGAACTCTCTGCCCCAGAGTGTGGTAGAGACTCCTTCTTTGGAAGCTTTTAAACAGAGGCTGGATGGCCATCTGTTGGGGGGGCTTTGAATGCAATTTTCCTGCTTCTTGGACTGGATGGCCCATGAGGTCTCTTCCAACTCTATGATTCTATCCTCCAGGCAGTAACAACCCACACATAAAAACTGTAAGGTCATCAAATACAATCAAGGTGACCAATTGCAACAATGACACCTAACTCCAACAGACAAGAGTTCTTTCTCCCACCCTAGACTTTCCACAGATATAAATAAACCCAATTTCCCTCGTTTCCAACAGACCTCACAACCTCTGAGGATGCCTGCTATAAATGGAGGCGAAACGTCAGGAGAGAATGCTACTGGGAGTTGGCCCGAAAAACCTCCCCCGACCCAGCGATTCAAGCCTTGGGCAATGCACCTCTCCCCCTGCTTGAGCCTTCCCTCCTCGTCCTCCTCCTCCTACTCACAGGGAGACGGTGCGGTTGGGCAGCAAGGCGGGCGGCAAAGTTTCCACCAACTCTCCTCCGCTGCAGACAACTTTGACGCGGAGGCTGGGCCGGCCGGGCCCCTTGGCGGTGCGCTCGGCGGTGCAGAGGCAGCTGTCCACGGCCAGCTCCGGGCAGTTGCGGTTGGCCCCCGACAGACCCACCACGGCGGCCGCCGCCGCCACCACGAAGCACAGGCAGCAACAGCGCAGCCCCGGCATGGCGAGCAGCGGCCAGAGGAAGAGCGCCCGGAGAGCAGACACAAGCCCGAGGAAGAGGAGGAGGAGGAGGAGGAGGAGGCTGGAGCGCTCATGGCACGCTCGCCCGGCCGGAGGGAGGGAGGGAGGCAGGCAGCGCAGGGGGAGACACCGCTGCTCCTGCTGCTCCTGCTCTTGCTCCTGCTGCCGCCGGAGAAGGGGCTCGCCGTCCGCCACCTCCAGCACGCCTTCGCCGCCTCCTCCTCCTCTTCCTCCTCCTCCTCCTCCTCCTTCCCGCTGCGGCAGGGCATGAGCGGCCAGGCGCTGGGAGGGGCGGAAAGTTGGCCCCCTCCTTGCAACAGGAGGCAAGGCTGGCCGGACCGTGCCTGGGTCCTGCCCCCTCTCGCTTGCTAGCTGGCTAGAGAAAGGGAAGGAAGGGGCTCCATGGGGGTGGGTGGGTGTGCTTCCCTTCTCTATATATATATATAAAGGGAGGGGGATCCCAGAGTGTGTGTTCTTCTGTGTGTGTGTGTTCTCCTCCTCTCTCTATATATACATATAAAGGGAGGGAGATTTGAGAGTGTGTGTTCTGTGTGTGTGTGTGTTCGCCTCCTCTCTATGCATATGTGTTCTTGCCCTCTATATATACATATAAAGGGAGGGGGATCCGAGAGTGTGTGTTCTTCTCTCCTCTATATATATATATATTTATGTGTGTGTGTTCTTCTCTCTATACATATAAAGGGAGGGGAGATCTGAGAGTGTGTGTTCTCTGTGTGTGTGTTTCTGTATTCATATAAAGGGAGGGGGATTCGAGAGTTTGTGTTCTTCTCTCTCTCTCTCTCTCTCTGTTTGTGTGTTCTTCTCCTATCTATGCATATGTGTTCTTGTCCTCTCTCTATATACATATAAAGGGAGAGGGGATCCGAGAGTGTGTTTTTCCTTCTCTGTGTGTGTGTGTGTTCTTCTCCTCTCTATACATATAAAGAGTGTGTGTGTGTTTTCTCTCCTCTCTCTATATATATGTGTGTGTGTGTTCTTCTCTCCTCTCTCTCTCTCTCTCTCTATATGTGTGTGTGTTCTTCTCCTCTCTATACATATAAAGAGAGAGAGTGTGTGTTCTTCTCTCCTCTCTCTCTCTCTATATGTGTGTGTGTGTTCTTCTCTCTATACATATAAAGAGAGAGTGTGTGTGTTCTTCTCTCCTCTCTCTCTCTCTATGTGTGTGTGTGTTCTTCTCTCTATACATATAAAGAGAGAGTGTGTGTGTTCTTCTCTCCTCTCTCTATATGTGTGTGTGTGTTCTTCTCTCTATACATATAAAGAGAGAGTGTGTGTGTTCTTCTCTCTGTGTGTGTGTGTGTGTGTTCTTCTCTCTATATTTATAAAGAGAGAGTGTGTGTGTGCTTCTCTCCCTCTCTATATATATATGTGTGTGTTCTTCTCTCTATACATATAAAGGGAGGGAGGATCCGAGTGTGTGTGCTCTTTTCTCCTCTCTCTCTATATGTGTGTGTTCTTCTCTCTATACATATAAAGGGAGGGGAGATCAGAGAGTGTGTGTTCTTCTCTCTATATATGTTTGTGTGCTCTTGTCCTCTTTCTATATTCATATAAAGGGAGGGGGATTGTGTGTGTGTGTTCTTCTGTGTGTGTGTGTGTGTTCTTGTCCTCTCTTCTATATACATATGAAGGGAGTGGGATCCGAGAGTATGTGTTCTTCTCTCTGTGTGTGTTCTTCTCCTATCTTTCTATATATAAAGGGAGGAGATCTATGTGTGTTTGTGTGTCCTGTGTTCTCTCTCTCTCTCTATATATATATATAGAGAGAGAGAGAGAGAGAGAGAGAGGGATGGGGATCAATGTGTGTGGGTGTTTTCTCTCTCTTTCTATAAGGTAAAGATTTCCTCTTGACATTAAGTCTAGTCATGTCCAACTCTGGGGGGTGGTCCTCATCTCCATTTCTAAGCTGAAAAGCCGGCGTTGTCCATAGACACCTCCAAGGTCATGTGGCCGGCATGACTGCATGGAGCACCGTTACCTTCCCGCCGGAGCGGTACTTCTCACACTGCATGTTAGCAAGTTTTTGTACTGCTAGGTTGGCAGAAGCTGAGGCTAACAGCTGGGGCTATATATATAGGGAGCAGGATATATGTGCATGTGTGTGTGTCCTCTCTCACTTTCTATATATATATGTGTGTGTGTGTGTGGGTGTATGGAGGGGGAATATGTGTGCATGTGTGTGTGTTCTCTCTCTCTCTCTCTCTCTCTCTATACTCTATATAAAGAGAGAGGGAATATATGTGTGCATGTGTTTGTGTTCTTTTCTTCTATCTATATGCTAAATGAGCTGTTGGAATTTAAACCTCTCTCTTCCAGCAGGCCTACCACCCAGCCAGTTTGAAGCATGGATTTTCAAACTCCCATCCTGTACTTTAATCTCTGTCTTGTCCCACGTATTTTATAGAAATATGTTTTCATATGTCTCCTATGGAACTTTTTATGGAACTACCTTTGCCTATAGAATTTTGGCAATGTTGTGTGTATTGACTGGACTGCAACCTGCCTTGAATGACAGGAGGAGGGATGGGGTAAGAAATAAAATTATTAGGTTTGATTCCATTTTCTGGGTGGAGGCCACAAGGGGGCGCTAGAAAGAGAAGGACAGTCCATTTTACAGGCGGGAAGTTGAAGGAGGAGAAACATTTCCTCCTTTTTTGCTGGTTATTCCCCCTCCCCACTTCTCATATCATAAATGAGGGTTGTTTTCACAAAGGGGACATTGGTGGGGGAAATAACAAGAAAACATGGGAAAATTATTTTCCTCCTTCAACGCACCCTCTGTCCCCAAAAAATGGACATTCCCTCTATCTCTAGTGCCCCCTTGTGGCCTCCCCCTAGATAATAGAACAGTACCTATTATTATTATTATTATTATTAATAATAATAATAATAATAATAATTTTATGTGTATATCGGTGTGTTTGTGTAAAATATATGTATGTGTGTATGTGTGCATATGTGTGCACTTTACTCCTGATTTCATCCATTCTATCAATCTATATAAATAAAAATGTAAATTCAGTTTGTGGGATTAACATAACTCAAAAACCACTGGAGGAATTGCTGCCAAATTTGACCACAAGACACCTACTAACCCAAGGAGTGACCATCACTAAAAATTGATTTTGTCATTTGGGAGTTGTAGTTGCTGGGATTTATAGTTAACCTACAATCAAAGAGCATTCTGAACCCACCAATGATGGAATTGAGCCAAACTTGGCACACAGGACTCCCATGACCAACAGAAAACACTAGAAGGGTTTGGTGGGCATTGACCTTGAGTTTGGGAGTTGTAGTTCACCTACATCCAGAGAGCACTGTGGACTCAAACAATGATGGATCTGGACCATACTTGGCACAAATATTCCATATGCCCAAATATGAACACAGATGGAGTTTGGGGGAAATAGATCTTGACATTTGGGAGTTGTAGTTACTGGGATTTATAGTTCACCTACAAAGAGCATGCTGAACCAACACTTTCTAATTACTTTATTTTCCACCAGACTGGCCCACAGCAACGTGTGGCAGGGGATAGCTAGTATACAGACACACTTACAAATACAAATAAATTTACGTATTTTCTGCATTGTGCAATTTGCAACCAGGGGTCTCCTCCCTTACCCCAGCACTGCCAGGAGGTGACAGCAGCTGATGCCAATCCTTCTGAGTTGCTTCCAGGTGAGGCTATTGGGCTGCTCAGACCAGAAGGGGGGGAAGACCTTCTTAGGCTCCCCTGGAATTGCACCTATTAGTATGTGTCAGACATCCTCTCTGCAGTCTGTGGTGTAAGGCCACCTAATGGATCAGTGGCACTTTTCAAAGGAGGAGAAGGGAGGGAGGAAGAGTCTTCTTCTCTGGAAGTTTTTACACAAGGGCTGGAGGTCTATCTGCCAAGAGTCCTCTGACTGTGTGTTCCTGCATGGCAGTACGAACCAGGCGTGGGCAAACTTCGATCCTCCAGGTGTTTTTGACTTCAGAAATCCCAGCCAGTTTAGGAACTGTGCAAATTGAATTTCAACACATCTGGAGGGCTGAAGTTTGCCTATACCTGAGTTAGACTGGCTCTTGGGGTCTCTATAGAAGGAAGGAAGGAGAAATACATCCTGAAAGAAAGACATCTCCAAGAGTGAGAGAAATGACCCAAGTCTGTGTTTCCTGGAAGAAAGACAAATGTTGGGGTCCTTCATAACCTTTCAAATGAACAGTCATTCCCACAGCCTCATTTGTTGCTCTTGTATACCTTCAAGTGGTTTCTGACCAGTGGTGAACCTGTCATAGAGTCATCTTGGCAGAGGGTTGGACTGGATGGCTCTTGTGGTCTTTTCCAACTCCAAAAGATGCTTGTCTTTTTTCTTACTCTGAGGCCAAGAGAGTATGACTTGCCCAAGGCCACCCAGTGGTTTTCCATGGCTGAGCAGGGATGTGAACTTCAGTCTTCAGAGTCACAGTGCAGTTCTCAAGCCACTATGACATAGTGGCCCCATATACCCATGTTTTAATTTCTTTTAGAAGCCCGAATGCTTTTATGTGTGTGCACACCTAATACCTTCAAATCACCTGTTGACTTATGGCAGCTCCATTAATTTAATAAAAAATTTCTTAGGCAAGGAATTCTCTGAAGTAGCTTTGTCAGTTCCTCTCCTTGAAATATAGCTCTTGGCATCTAGTATTTTTAACTGGTTCCCCATCCAAACATTAACTCCCAAGATCAGAAGGGATCTGGTGTATTTAGTGCTAGTATCACAACGGGGGGGGGGGGGGACCTATTAAATTGCTCCACCCTCAAAGGCTAATGGATCCTTTCAGATTCTTAGAGGGTTCTATGACTAGTTTCATCGATGATCCTGTTAAATCCCTGTTCAGTAAGTCGGATCAAAATTTGAGAAGGGCTGTTGACCTGATCACTCCCAAATGTCCTCTTTGACCCATTACCAATCAGGCCCTCTGGTATGAGAAACCCTCAGAGAACTGAAATGGGAAGGATGATGATTGGAGTACAAATGACAGAAAACTCAACTTCTACTGTATGTGACAAGACACGATGTAGAGAGCATCTTCGCTCCTGTAAGGTGGCAATACATGCAACAAACAAAGCTTTCTGCCCTGTACATATTGTGTGTGCAAATTCATGTCCAGCTGAGTTAATTAAGGTAGTGAGACGTTTAACTCAGATATCCCTCTCCAAACCTCTACTAGGACCTTCAGTAGC